TGTGGGTTGTAAGTGGGTGTATAAAGTAAAATTACATATAGATGGAACTGTTAAGAGATACAAGGCACAGCTAGTTACAAAGGGACACAACCAAGTGGACAGTTTTGATTATACTGAGACCTTTAGTCTAGTAGCCAAGCAAACAACAGTGCGTACATTCTTTACATTAGCAATAGTTAAAGCTTAGCATTTATGTCAATTAGACATAAATAATGCCTTCTTAAATGGGAAACTAGATGAGACAATGTATATGGATCTGCCGCAAGGATATGACCTAAAAGGGGATTATCCAAATAATTGCAAGCTTATGTACAAGTTGAAAAAGTCATTATATGGCCTTAAACAAGCCTCAAGGTAATGGAATTCAAAATTTATAGATTCCTTGATTAGTTTTGGTTTTCAACAGTCCAAGAGTGATTATTTTTTATTTACCAAAACTACTAACAAAGGTGATTTCATTGCTTTATTGGTGTATGTATATGTTATTGTGATTGGGAGTACATCATTAGATGCTTTAGCTACTGTGAAAGAGTCTCTTAGGTCCAAATTCAAGTTAAAGGATCTGGGAACACCAAGATATTTCCTAGGCTTGGAAATTTCAAGGTCAAAAAAATGAATCTTTATTTGTCAACACAAATGCGCATTAGATTTGATCAATGAATGTGGTTTTCTTGGTGCAAAACCAATCACTACTCCCATGGATTACAATAGTAAGTTAACAAAGGATGATGCTGTAGAATTAATACCAAATGCCATAAGTTATAGGAAACTGGTTGGTAGACTTGTTTACATAACTTTCACTAGACTTGATATATCCTTTGCTATGGAATGCCTTTCTCAATTTATGGACAATCCTCGGGTCACACATTTACAGGTTGCCTATAAAGTTTTAAGATATATGAAGTCAACTCCAGGTCAAGGAATCTTACTATCAACTGAGTCCAATTTACAATTACCAGTTTATATAGACAATGATTAGGCTAGATGTAAAGATACCAAGAGGTCTATATCTAGATTTGGAATGTTTCTTGGAAACTCTATCACCGGCTAAAAATCGAAGAAATAATTTGTCGTTGCTTGAAGTTCCACAGAAGCGAAATATCGAGCAATGGCTTTGGCATGTTGTGAGATACTATGGCTTATATACTTATTACAAGATTTTGGAATCCAACATAAAAATTCAATGGTTATGTATTGTGACAATCAATCAGCTATTTATATATGCAAAAATCCTACTCTTCATGAAAGGACTAAGCATATTGAGATTCATTGTCACTTCATACGAGACAAGGTCTTAAGTAAGATTATCAATCCATAACATGTTGGTGCTAAAGATCAAGTTGGAAATCTTTTTACCAAGGCATTGCAGCCATCTTAGTTTCAGTTTTTGAAGAGCAAGTTGAGCGTGGATAACATCCATGCTCCCTTTTAGGGGGTAATAAAGATTAATAATGTAATTGTAATGTATATAATTTTGAAATAGCAAATGGTTAGGTAGTTAAGTGTCTTTTATGTAAATATTTTGACATCTAGCACTAGTACATAAATACCAGATTATTGTAAATATTTAATTCAAGGAAGGAATATAAATCTTTTCAGCTCCTTTCCCTAAATACTTTCCACCATACATGACTTCACTTTGAGTTCTATCACTTACCAACCCAACAGATAATCCTTCATAATTGTTCAAGTTTATTAAGGACACCCTTTGGCTCTTAAAAGATCCATAAGTAGTAAACATGCTCAAAGTTGAGGATCGAATTGGTAAATGCAATTCCACCATTGAACAAGATGTATTTGCACTATCAAAGTGCTAATCTGGTATTAAACTTGTTTTTCACAAGGCCCCAAATACATGAGCTTCTAAGATTGGCTCCCAAGGGGGCTCCGAGATATGTAAAAGCAAGTTACATGTCTTGCATCTAAGTAAATCTACCATTTTTTCCCTTATTCAAGGAAATCCCCATCAGATAAATACAAGATTTGGTGAAGTTTACTTTAAACTCAAAGCCAATACAGAACATTTGAGAAGTTGTATAATATTTATCATTTTTCATAAACCTTTCTCCACAAAAAATTCATATCGTCAGCTGACCTGTGTGATTGGAATGTCTTGAAAGAGGTGAAGGTTTTCTGCCTATGATAGGAGTAGATGAAGAATCTCAACCACCATGATAAAGAGTAAAAAGACAATGAATCCCTTTGTTGAAGTCTGCATATCATGGGAAGTGTCAACGTTAACAAGGATTATCATTGCCATTGTCGAGATACATTTAAATATCCATTTCCTCCACATTTTCCCAACCACATATTATAATACCCATTTTTTGTAGTTTATTCAATTCATATTTCTTCCCATTGCTCTACAAATTTTCATTTCCTTCATACTCTCTCAACAACATATGTGTACTCATAAGTTCAGAAAATGAAAACAATTGTGACAATACGCCTAACCAATGTGGAAGGTATCATTTGTTGTTCGGTAGATTTAAAGTGTCCAATAAACTATAATTTAGTCAAAGATCGTAGCAGTGACCTTTCAAATTGATTATCGTTTAAGACAATATTGCTCAAATCATTACCTAGTGTTCTAAACTAGTAAATAAGTTGAAAAAAAGGTTTAAAGTAGTTATTGCAAAGGTTTAAGTGGTCAATTGCTCTCAACCTTCTAATTACCATTTGAAAATTAAGCTAACAATTTTGTTATTGGAAACATCTAAACTTATCAAGTTCTTTCATGCTCTTAAGAAATACCAGAACTGCCTTATATCACAAGAACAGAATGGTAGCATGAAGCTCATGGAAAGTATAGTCAAAATTACTATCATTGCTAGTCAATGATAATAGATTGTTATTTGAAAGATCAACAATTTTAAGATTCTTGAGTATTCAAAACCTTTAATAGCTATTAATGATGCAAGAGCATCCAAGATTCTATTTTATTTAATTTAATTTTTTCTAATTTTAGTTGATTTAGATTTATTTTTTATTCTATTTAGATTGAAATTCTTTTCTTATTTTTATTAGGATTTTAATACTTTTAAGGACTATTATTTGATTAGGCTAGTCAAGTTGCATTTGATTTAAATCTCTTGTTAATTATTCTAATTGTGTTAAACAACTAAAAGTAGAGTTTTATTAGGATGTGGGCATATAATACTATAAATAGGATGCTTAGGCTTAGTTATTATGGATATTGAAGTGGAGAATAAATAAAGAATATTTTCTAAAGTAAGAGTACTTATTTTCTCTAGGCTCTTTTTAAAAGAGTAAGAGGGTTTTAGCATCTTTGACCTAACCAACCAAAGTGGGATTTTGACTATATTTTGCCTTAGTGGGGTTTTCAACTTGGCGAAGATTGGTGATTCACCTTAGTGGGGTTTCTAGCCTCGTCACAATTAGTGTCTTTTCACAACACTCAAGTGCCTTCACAATGCCCTTGTGTCAGCTTGGCATCAGAGTAAGAGGATCGTTATTCATTGTGTAGTTTGAGTTTTGACTCTCCTTGTTTGAGTGACTCTATCTTTTTAATTGTCTTATAGTTCTATTTTTTTTTGCATCACCGCATCATCATCACCATATCATCACTAAAATAATTGTCATTCCTCAAAATGCTGTCAAGATGTCAAAATTGTCAAACAAATAATCACGAGATCGAGATTCAAGAATTACGTCACCAAGTTCAAGAACTACAAAAGCAACTAACAAGACATGATGCTACTTAATTCAACTACAATAGCTCAAGTGATGAAGAGGCTTAAATGGATTGAGAAGAATTAGAGCCGATTTATGAGGAATATAATGAGGAGATAGAGGAATTAAAGTTCATCACACACAAGGTGAGTCTTTGATGGTACAAAGACAAGTCGAGGAGGTGTTGGAGAATGGTCTACTACATGAAAGTAAAAGTTCTCGTACTTGCCCAACTTTTTTAAAGAAAGATGATTCATGGAGGATATGTGTGAACAACCATGCCGTAAACAAGATTATAGTCAAGTATGATTTTCCTATTCCTCGATTGGATGACATGCTTGATCAATTAGTTGGTTCTAGAGTGTTTTAAAGATCGATTTGAAGAATGGATATCACTAAATTCAAATACGACCTGAAGATGAATGAAAAACAACCTTCAAAACACTAGATGAATTATTCGAATGGTTAGTGTGGATCATGACAGCATGTGGATCCAGACATCTTCAAGGAGTATGTCAAGGCCTACTCGTCGAAGCTTAGTTTTCTAACCCGAGGAGAATAACGCAAGAGTATATAGAATTTTATTTTATTTTATTTAGTTTTTTCTAGTTTTAGTTGATTTAGGATTTATTTTCTTTATTCTATTTAGATTGAAATTCTTTTCTTATTTTTATTAGGATTTAAATACATTTAAGGATTATTATTTGATTAAGCTAGCATGTTGTATTTGATTTAAATCTCTTATCAACTATTTTAATCATATTAAACAACTAGAAGTAAAGTTTTATTAAGATGTGAGCTTATAATACTATAAATAGGACTCTTAGGCTTAGTTATCATAGATATTGAAGTTGAGAATAAATAAAGAATATTTTCTTAAATAGGATTACTTATTTTCTCTAAGCTTTTTTCAAAATAGGAAGAGGCTTTTAGCATTTTTGGCCTAGCTAATCAAAGTGGGATTTTGGTTATTTTTCGCCCTAGTGAGGTTTTCAACGTCGTCAAGATTGATGATTCACCTTAGTGGGATTTTTAATCTTGCCATAATTGATGTCTTTAAGTGCGATCACGACGCCCCGGGATCAATTAATCTTAAATGGATATCAAATCTATAAGTTCACAACAAGGATTTCAAATACTAAACAATTTCAGTAAAGATGATGCAAACTACCCTTTCTTTGAACTTGGAAGAGCAGTTTTGTTCCAACAAATTAAACAAACACCAAACACCAGGGATTTTGCAAAAGAAAGAACCAGCCTGAAAATAAAACAGGACATATTACCGTACAAAAGTAACGAGAGCCCATAAAAAAACATTTACAAACGAAGACACCCATAAATCAAAGCTGAACAAATACAAGAAGCTACTAAGAACACCCTGAATCGAATTACTCGAGTTGTTTCAGATATTCGACGAAGTCCCCAATTATTCCAAACACTGCGACGCAATAAACCCAGAACACATGCTCTTTCTAGACAAATCTTACGGAAGCAGGGGTGCATCTTCCTCTGGATTCAGCTCGAAGCCACTATGACAAATTAAAGAAAACAGAAAAAGGGAAAATTTAATTCGAGATTATGAAAGCAATGTGAGTAACTCATTACGATTCTACTTGGTTTATTTGAAAGTGGTTAAAACCCACCTAAGCATTTTGGGCTCAGTGCTAGTTTCTTCTTCTCTTCTTCCTGCGAATCCACTTTGTAACATTGTTCTGCCAATTTCTCTCAACCATTCTTACAAACCACCATGGTCTTCCAGTCGTGAACACAATGTATCCCGTGCTTAAGCCTAGCACCAATCCACATCCGTATCCCATCACTACAAGTTTCCATATGAAGGCTAGTGCAGAACCTTCATCTTCCTTAAACTTTGGTGCAGGAGATTTTGATCCCTCATTGTTGCCGCATTGCTTTGACAATGGGAAGCCACACAATCCCAAGTTGCCGCTATAGGAATCATTCTCAAAAGTGCTGAACTGCTTCCCATTGGGAATGGGTCCCACAAGATTATTTTTTGAAAGATCTAGCACTTCGAGAAATGTCAAGTTTGTCAATTGGGAAGGAATTCTGCCATCAAGCTTGTTCGACGAGAGATCTAATGATTCAAGCGCTACTAAGTTCCCCAATGATGTTGGGATATGACCGGTCAAGCTGTTGTGTGAGAGGTTGAGCACTTGAACTGAGCTAAGCTCTCCAATTACCTCAGGGATTTTGCCATAGAATTGATTGCTCGAAAAATCTATGGCAAAGAAAATGAGCAAAGTTCTCGCTAGCTCTAGCTCTAGCTCTAACCTTTTAGTTGTTACATTCACAGAACTGTCATCAAGGCTACCGATTCCTTCAGGAAACGATGTTATGTGCACGCCTGTAGGACTAACTGGTCGTGTATACTTCATGGCAAATAAATTTTGGAAGAAATTTGATGGCAAGAGTCCACTAAACTCATTTTGAGAGAGATCGATCAGTTGCAACGACATAAATGAAGGTTTAACTATCGAATTGTTCAGGGGACCATGAAATCTATTAGATCGAAGGACAAGAACTTTCAGCGAAAAATTTGCATCTAACCAATGCGGAAAGGTATCTCTTAACTTGTTATTTGCCAAATCTAAAATCCTCAAAAAACAATTAACCAAGGATCGTGGCAGTAACCCTTCAAATTGGTTGTCACTAAGAAGAAGATATGTCAGCGAATTACCCACAACAAAAGAATCTGGGATTTTTCCATGAAAGTTGTTCATTTGTAGGTTTATGGTTGAGAGCAAATAGCTAAAATTTCCAAGACACGCTGGAATAGTTCCACCCAAATTATTTCTAGACAAATCAAGAATTTCAAGTGAAGACAGATTACAAATCAAAGGAGGGATTTTTCCTGTCAATTTATTGTTTGAAATGAAGAATTGTTGCAATGAAGGTGGTGGAGCTAGAAGAGGACCTTGGAGTAGGTTGGAACGAAGATCAAGGATTTCAAGATTCTTCCCTGGAAATTGCTCTAAACTAGTCAGAAAGTTGTAAGAAAGATTTAAAAAGGTCAATTGTTCCCACCCTTCTAGTTCCCACTTGAGAACTGAGCCACTAATTTTGTTATCTGAAAGATCAAGAACTCTCAAGTTCTTCCCTGTTCTTAAGAAACCCGGGAATCGACTTACATTGCAAGAAGAGAATGATAAAGTCATGAGCTCTGGAAAAGTATCTTTGATACCAGTTCCACTGCTCAACGATAGCAGCTTGTTATTTGAAAGATGAAGTCTCCGAAGATTCTTGAGCTTTGAAATCAGTTCTGGCTCGATGAGGCCACTAAAATTATTTGATGAAAGGTCGAGCATTTGAAGATTCTCGAGCTTTGAAAGCAGATCTGGCTTGATGACTCCACTCAAGTTGTTAGATGAAAGATCAAGGTGGGTAAGATTTGCAAGATCAAAGAAAGACCTTGGCATTTCACCATGAATGCCATTGCTCGCCAGATAAACTTCTTGAACTGAACTAGGATTTTGAATCGGATCGATTGGACCGGTGAGCCTGTTATAGCTAAGTCCTAAAAACTCTAAAGATGGCAGAGTAAAAAGCCAGGATGGAATTCCACCACTTAATAAGTTCGAAAATGATTGGAATTCTTTTAGATTCTGAAGCCCACTTACATGACTTGGGAGGGGACCTTCTAGTTTATTGAATGAGAAACGTAATTGAGAAAGTTGTGTGAGGTTCATCAACGTCGAAGGAAGTTGACCGCTGATGTTACATGCAGAGAAAGCCAAAGTTGTTAGTTTGTTAAGGTTTCCAAAAGCATTAGGAAGTTGTCCTTCGAAGTTGTTTGAAGATAAATCTAGAAGGGTGATTTTTGTGAGGTTTCCAATGGCCGAAGGAATTGACCCTCTAAAAGCACAAGAGCCAAGGTCCAAGAACGTAAGGGGACTACTCCAATTTGACTTTGGGAGATAACCTGTGATATCATGGTTCCAGCTTAAATCAAGATACTCGAGGTACTGAAGGCGGAAAATTTCACTAGGGAATTCCCCTCGGAGTTGACAATAAGGGAGACTCAAACGCTTTAGAGACGAAGTCAAGTTTATCAAGGAGGTAGCCACAACATCAGACATGTTAACGCCACCAAGGAAAACATTTCTTAACTCAGACAAGTTACGCGTAAGCATGTCGAAACTGTGGCTGTCAAATTTCAATCCAAGATAAGTATGACAAGAAAGATCTAGTGAAATCAGTTTTGATAGCAAAGAAATATCCGATGGAACTAAACCAACGAAGTTAGAACGAGAAAGATTAAGATGTGTTAAACTTACTAAATGACTGAACCCAGATGGGATAGAAGAACCATTGAAATTGTTGTGAGCAAGGTTGAGCCGTTTGAGTCCTTTCAGGAGGAAGAGGCTGCTGTTTGCAGGAAGAGAGCCAACAAGCGAAGAGCAACTAAGGTCGAGGCCAATCACATGACCAGTCACCTCGTCGCAAGTGACTCCCTCCCATGAGCAGCAGTTTGTGCTTTCATTCCAGGTTTTTGTCTTGGGGTAGGAAGTCATTGAGTCAGCACAGATAGGATCATCAGAATCATGAATGGAAATGGTGTTCTTGAATTGGAGCAAGGCAGAGCTGTCTTCTGGTTGGCATAAAGGAGTTGAATAATTAAGAGCAGAGGAAGAGAAACTCAGAGAACAATCGACTTCAAAAGGCAAGACTAACACTAAGAGGAGACAAAGGACTTGAAGAGACCCGATTAAACTTCCCATATCTAGAAACTTAGTAACAAGCGATGAAATGGGGCAAAGTTTGGGAGATTACTTTGAAACTGAGCTATGGTTGAGGCTTCAGAGATATATGAAATGTGGATCACCGCAGGCCTTTATTTATATCATTTTCCAGTCTACTAAGTCTTCCCTAAGTCTTTTAAAATTCTTTAATTTCATGATGTGGAAGATGACATTTTTTTCTTAATTGGCATATAAACACCGAATTTTAATAATCTTGTAATACAATCTAATGAAAATATTAGAAAATATGAGATCCTTTGTGATTTTCTTTAAATAAGAAGATATGATACTTTTGTTGATCATATATTCCAAAACAGTTATTAACAGGAAAAAAAAGAATATTGAAAGAATGAAATTTGAAAAGCAAAAAATTGCAGCAAAAAGAAGCATTATAGGCTCACTATATTTGGTATCCTTAAATAAACGCTTAAGGGTAATAAAATAAAGAAGAGAAGGTAGATTTTAAAGTTATTTTTATATTTTCTCAAAAAAAAAGTTATTTTTATATACATGGTCAATGAAATTTTTAAACTCTACAAGCAGACTTAAAAATTACCATGTATTCCATCAAAGTATATTAAATTAATTAATCAATTAATATAATAAATAATAAACATATGAAAATATTCTAACTTTTTTTGTTTAATTTAAGAACTCGACAAGGAAATAATATATAGTCCAAAAGATAGTTGTTGTTTACATTTTCATACTTTATACGCAGTAACTTTTCGGTAACTTTCTCAACAATTACTGATTACTCAAGTATGGGATCTCCTTTTGCCTTTTATTTTTTTTTTAATTTCTTTGATAATTATATGTTTACTTTTGCTTTTCGTTGGTCTTAATTAATTAATATACCTCGAATTCCCCTTACTTACATGCTTTAGCTTTTCTTTGGTCTTGATTAATATATTTACCCTGACTCTTCAGCTTATATGACTTCTGTTTTCTAGGTGTTGGGTGTTAAAATAATGAAGGGACTCCCGCCAATTGGGTCCTAATAATTCAAGCACTTTTACTTTCATAAATAATTATTTAAAGCTTTGTTTTCCTAATACGTTAGTGGTTTCTAACAAACAAACCAAGGCCTATCAAGAGCATAATAATAATGAGAACAAAAACAATTAATATCTTTTTTCTTTTCTCTATCAAGAGCAAACTATTTATGGAAGTTGTATGGGATCTTCTCGTGAAATCCTTACAATTGATAATATTATAGCAGCATATGCAAAACCATGTAGAATAAAGGAATTAGTGGAGAAGTGATGACAGCAACAAGTAATTTTATCATCCACGGCAAGGTTGTTAAATGTATCCTTTATCAAGTTTAAAGTTACTTTTAACGTATTCGTATATTTGATTCATTGACGTAACTAAATTAAATTTCATTTCTTATAAATAAAATAAACGTAAAATGAGTAAAGTAACGTTTTGTAAGATAGAAAAGCATCAACTATGCTGTCTAGTTCTCATTTCAGAAAAGCCATTTTTTATGTAGGGTGGGGATGCAACTTCAACCGTTCGTTTCAAGAAAGCACCAGCAACATCACAATATATGAATTAGTAATTACACAGCTTCTTAATGTTCCATAACTGGTATTCTTTTTTTTTTTTTTCTTTTGATTGTTCCAAAACGGAGTCTGTTGCTTGAAATTACTGTTGAAGCATACTTTAGGATGCCAGCTGAGGGAAAAATTAGTCAGAACTTAATTTTGCAATGCTTTGCAATTGCTGATGTATCAGATCTTAGTTAACACCGTCTTGATTCGTGTCTCCCTCCAACTACAATATTAAGTAGCTTAATAAGTAACTTGAGATATTTGAAAGGTCTATCATTTTTCAATACATTTATCATCATCTTTTGCATGAGTGACATTCAATCATAAATTATGAATCTCACATATGTATAAATTGAGATTTATGAAAGGTAATGGACCAAAAAATTAACTGTTAAAATTTTTTTGTTTTAGGTCTTCTATAATTATTAATACTTACTATCACATGTTTTGTACAAAAGCACTTATTTTCAAATTTATTTTTAAATAACAATTATATGTAAAATAAAAAATTTTTAAATATAAAGTTAATTATCTATAAATAAAAGATAATTAATGTTTTACTTTTTTTTTTTTTTTGCTTAGCCAAAATAAAATTTCATTAAAAACACTGAAACTACGTTCTGTGAGCCTAAAGACTCATTGGTACAAGCATCTACAAACAATAGTTATGCACAACTTGTAGCGTAAAATATAAACATAAGGAAGGTTGTAAGCATTATGAACCTAGGGCAAGCTTGCTTGTGAGAAAAGGCAAAAGCAACATCTTGAAAGCATAGAGAGTACACTCCAAAAACAACAACAGCATTTGAGCAAAAATCGTAATAACATGATGATAACACATAGAGTAAAACCATGATCTCACTACCAAGCAGAGAAAAGAGATGATACCTCAACGCCATACCTGGCCAAGGAGTCCGCAAAAGAGTTGGTCTCTCTAAAAATGCTAGTGACGGATACATTACCTAACAATGATAGCAATGAGTCAATCTCGTTAAAGATATGCAATATATCCCAAGGTCTTCGATCAACACACGTAATCCATAAGAGAACAATCCAGGAATCTCAATAGATAAGGGGGATGGAGCATAAGAGGAGGTAGAAAATAGGCGCAAGGCATGAAAGATAGCCATCAATTCTATGTAGTTGGAGTCACGCATGCCAAGCAGAATGAAAAACAAACCTACAACAAAGCCATCGAAATTGCATAAAACACCTCCGCATCCTACTAGTCTCGATTTTCCTCTGGCCAAACCATTGACATTAAATTTGAACTCATCGAAAGGGGGAGGAACGCTTGACACACTAAGCTGACGGTGAAGAGGCACTCTTCTAATGAGACAGTTGCGTGGCTCTGACTACCAGCCTATGTCATTAATCGCATCATCACATTTAGAGGCTTGGATCGAAAACATAGAGCATGGCTTAATGAGAAAGAGGATTTGAAGGCCATCCTAAATCTTAGAGTTAAAGAAAAATTCATTACAAGCAAGCCATAATGACCAAGAAGTGGCGCTGCAAATAATCATCCATCTCAAAGAAAAACCTCCACCAAGTAGGCAGCAAGACCAAGCTTGGATAAAAATAGAAATTGAAAGTGGAGAACACTAAGCAATACCCCACCATTGTAGGACAGGACCTTAAACAGACCAGCTAAAATTGAATGTAAGAAAAATGTGAGACCAGCTTTTTTCAATGAAACCACACCATGCATAGCGTAGTTGGTCAGCACTAATAAGCACACCACAAAGGTAGAGAAAGACTTCATAGTGATGGCATTGAAGATTGCAAGCCATAAGAAGCATTGCACTTTTGGTGGTAAAGGTAGCTTCCATATAGAATGGAACTAAACCTCATGATTGTCGTCACTAGCATCCAACATTGAGTAGAAAGTTTTCACAAAGAAAGTTCATGGGAATCATGTTTCCATACTAGTTTATCCTCCTACCCTACAAAAGAGCAACTAAAGAAAGTTTGAGCAAAATTTCCTCATAATTTGATCTTTCTCAAGAGTAAAGTTCTCATAAAAAACTAATGAGCCAAGTTTCATTCTACTTAGCATTGACAACTCGCATATCTTTATCCATTGCCAAAGAGAACAAACGAAGGTATTTGAAGGATAAGGGCATATGCTCGAGCCATTTAGCAAGCCAAAAGAAAATAGTGGCACGATTGTCCACTGACCAGTGGCAAGCATGAGTTCTAACTAGATTTTGGACGCCCTCATTGGATGGGAGCTTGAGAATGCTTCTCCATGCTGAAGACATTCTCGTTGTTGTTAGAGAGAGAATGAGTCCAATGGGTATTACCAGTCCCATATTTCTTAACAATTAGACGTCTCGTAGAGATTCCTTGTCCATCCCATGTCACTACCACTATTTCACCAAAAGGGCAAGGTTCTTGTGAGAAAAAGAAGAAATCCCTAGTCCACCAAATCATTTAGGTCTGTAAACTGTTTTCTAGTTAACTTTGGATATCTTGTGCTTATTTGTGGTTCCACCCTATAAGAATGATCATCGTAGTTTACGAAGGACTCCTTTAGGTGCTTGAAATATTGAAAAATAATAGAGTGGTAGTGAGTTCAAAACAAAATTATGGCAATATTCTCCTCCTCTATCACTTTTTAGAATTTTGATTTTCCTACACTTTTTATTTTTCACAACAAATTTATATTCTTTAAACTTCTGAAAAGCTTCATCTTTTGTTTTAATTAAATAGACATAAATGAACCTAGAATAATCATCTATGAAAGTTATAAAATATCTATTTCCTCCTCTAGTTAATTTTCTATTTGATTCACATATATCAGAATGCACAATATCTAATAATTGTTAGTTTCTTTCCAAACTATGAAAAGGTTTCTTTGTCATTTTTGCTTGAATGCATATTTCACATTTTTCTAAATGCTCATGTTTACATGCAATATAACCATTATTAGACATAAATTTCAATGAATCAAAATTTAAATGTCCTAATCTAGCATGCCATAATAAAGAATTAGACCTAGTAACATAATCAGAAACCATATTTTTTTCATTAATACTAAACTTGTACATGATCTTTTTCCTACAAATATGCCACCATTGGATACTATTACATTGTCCTATTCTATTATAACTTTAAAATTTGTCTTTGCAAGAAACTAGCAAAAACTAAATTCTTCAAAATTTGAGGAACATGGAATACATTGAGTAATATTAGCTTCTATCCAGAATGAAATTCAACTTGACAGTCCTTTTTGCTTCAACTTTGGATTTAACATGATTTCCCATCAAAACATATTCTAGTTTGTTAACTTTCATGTAAGTATTAAACAAGTTTCTATCATTGCATACATGAATTATAGCACTAGAATCCAACCACCAATCTTTACTTTTACTGGAATCAGTAGCCATATTCAATTTTGTTACCAATCCAATATTT